TTTTGTCTTTTAGTTGTATTTTTGAAGTGGTTGTGCGAGGCAGCAATTTCTGGTGTTTACCAATGCTGGTATCTTGGTTTTCCTCAATATCCTATATTCTTAATATTCTTAGTCCTCACAAAGGTGCTGACACATGGAAGGTGTTTAATAAATGTGCCTGACTTAATTATGACATTAGATCATGCACAATTAGCTATATTTTACAGCTAAACAGACTGAGTCAGAAAGGTTGAATGACATGCTTGAAGTTGCAGAGTTAATTGAGGGCAAATCCAAGGCTAAAAACCTTAATTTCGGTGACTCCAAGTGACCTCAACATTTTCCCCCAAGGTGGTTATGTGTAACAAATGTATCTCTCATTTGTTTGTTTTTTTAATAAATATTTGTTAATACTTAGTGTTTAATAATGCTTTTATCTGATTCCAATATATTATGCAATTTTAATCCCACAAAATCAGGAGAATATTTCTATTTAAGTTACAGAGCTAACAAAATCATGAGAATATATAAATATAAGGAGTATAATTTTGTGTTCCTATCCAAGTTAAACTTACAGAACCAAAATTATAGATAGGAAGTAAGTACAATTTTTTCTGCAATACGTTGCTTCTAGCTGGTAATGCCAGCTTTGTTTTATTTTAGCATATTTTATGTAAGAATAAAATAATTTGATATATGCAGAAACTACCAATATTAATAACTTGGTTAAACTGTAGAGTAAAATTATGTATTAAAAATATTAATTAATGATGCGTTAAATAAATTTATCAAAACAAATTTTATTTTATTACCCTCAAGTAATTTATTCCAGTAGCTAATTATGTTTCTCTTAGTAACTCTGGATGTGCTCATAGTAACCACTCCAATGACCTCCAATTCTGTCATGTTTTATATACTGTCATTTCTCTAACAACAGAAGTTTTAGAGTGCAAAGTAGATAATGATCAATAAATTAGAAAATACATTTGCTCTTCTCATAACAATCTTGCTTGTAATGGGACTGAGATAGGAAAGTACTAGTGCTGTCTAAAATGAGTGATTGCAGACGTGCTCCTAGCACTCAGTGTTCCTTCACCAAAGTCGCAGTGTTCTAACCATACTGGTGAGGGAAACAGTGGCGGCACCGGTTCCTTTACATA